ATATTAATAAGGAACCAGCAGATCAAGTAGCTTTTGGAATAAAACACCAATTTTTTTAAAATTAAACACTATCTAAAGATTTGCATCGAAGCGTTTATTTTTGATAGTGATTTTAATCACTGTCAGATATCATTTACTTGATCCAACTATGCCACGTCACCACTGTGCCGCGACCCCCCTGTGCTGGGTTTTTTTACTTTAAAATGCTATAACTTTTTAAAAAATGTATAGATCAATACAATTTTTTTATGAAAAGTAGTATTCAGTGGCGGCGCTAGCATTTGCGGGGCCCTGTGCGACACGTGATTTGCGGGGCCCCACACATTTTTTTAAAGAATCTTTTTTTTTTTTTTGGTCAACCGAGCAAAATATCGGGTGGGCTAATTTGGGGTCACGTGATTTGCGAGGCCACAATTACTGAGGGATATGAACATTAAAAAAAGAGGTGCAAAATTATGCATATTCAATGCTTTTTAAAGTAGATTTTTATCATTACTACTGTTTTAACGACTTCAGTTTTCATATACAACATACAGCTAATCTATTAACCCATGTTTCAGCATCGCTGTTTTTAATTATTTAAAAAAAAATACCTGTTGACATACATATATATATATGAAATATATATGTATAATACAATAAATTAAGATAGTTATTTATATTAAAGTTATGGTTAAAATGACTTTCCAAAATGAACTCTTCTGCTTTTTTGCTGACTGAAGTCTTCAATCAGTTCCTTGAAGTCTAGGTTAGATGAACGTTCATTTTCAATTGACAGGATTGCGAGGGCCGAGAGTCTGTCTTGAGCCATCGTGTTCCTTAAATAGGTTTTTATCAACTTTAATTTGGAAAAACTTCTTTCGGCTGCCGCAACTGTCACAGGGACAGTAGCAACAATTCTAAGTGCAATACTTATATTTGGATAAATTTCACTCAAATTGTTGTCTACAATATACTTCAATGCCCGTACTATCCCACTTTGTTCAATTGTTTCTTTTTTTTTTTTACTGAGCTTCTACTTCTACTAAAACACTTGAAAATAGTTTTAGCTCTTCAAACAAGTCTACTCCGTCTATGTCATGGTTATTTCCTATTGATAGTGTAACTTGCAGATCATTGCAGTTATTTAACAACTCTTCTTCAGACATAGTGGAGGAGATGTTCATTATGTCATACAAAAAGCCAAAATTATTTTCATGGCATTTCAAAGCTTCAAACCTTGGTTCACAACTTGTCCGGATTTTATCCACAACCACATAAAAATAGCTAATTTTAAATCTATCTTTTGGTGATAACTCTGGTGTGTCATCTGTAGCTTCATAGCCAAAGTGTCTCCTTTTCCGTCTTTGTCTTGTAGACTTAAAAACAATTTCACTAAGGCCTATTTCTTCTGCTACTTCTTTACCTGTCACTAGTGCAAATTCAAAACCCTGATCCCTATACTCATCTAACCATTTCAAGAATACTTTTAAATGATTTATTGCTGCATCTAGATTCATACTTCGACTTTGCCATATTTTACTAATAACGTGAATTTTCACCAGGATATCGTACCAAACTACTAATGAAATAATGAACTCAAATGTCGAGATTTCATTTTCTAACGAATGACATTCACTTATAAGTAAACAGTCTGTGCTCTTTTCCCGTAGACTTGACAGAACCTCACAAACCTTACTCAACTAGAACCTGACTGCTTTTACAGACTCCACTCTACACTCCCATCTAGTTTCTGAAAGAGGTTTGACTGAAATATCTACATGTTCTTTAAGTTTACTCCATCTGTAACTAAAGCATGAAAATATTGTGTACAATCTTTGCAAGGTTCCAAAAAATTTAGCAATTAATTTTAGAAGATCTAAAAAATTACCACATCTATCTGAACTGTCTGAAGTTATTGTTTCTCTATGACCTCTAAATGCTAAATTGTGAGAAGCCAAAAACTGTACAATTGCTAAAAGCCTCTCCATTACATCTTTCCACCGTTGAGCTTCAGATCTAATCTGAGTTTCAGTCTCTCAATCAATGGTTTCAAGCGTTTTTAAACGCTTTTCTAGTTCGAACCATTTTAACATACACTCTCTGTGCGTTTTGTTATTNCTGTAGTTTTTTCAACTGCAACAACCCCGATAAAATGCTCTTCAGTTGAAGCAGTTTCCATATTGGTAGCTCTCAAAATCACAGAGAGCTGTTCAATTCTTGCAATATCTCGTGTACAGTCTAAAATGATAGAATAGTATTTGTTTTTAAAAACTTTTTCTGTTATCTTTTTCACTACATGATTTGCCATTAGAAGTATAAACTCATTTTGAGTTTCTTTGCTCAAATAATGATTTCTACCAATTTTTTTGTTGACAATTTGATTTAAATGTTCTCTCAATAAAGGGTCAAATTTAGCAATTAATTTTAGAAGATCTAAAAAATTACCACATCTATCTGAACTGTCTGAAGTTATTGTTTCTCTATGACCTCTAAATGCTAAATTGTGAGAAGCCAAAAACTGTACAATTGCTAAAAGCCTCTCCATTACATCTTTCCACCGTTGAGCTTCAGATCTAATCTGAGTTTCAGTCTCTCAATCAATGGTTTCAAGCGTTTTTAAACGCTTTTCTAGTTCGAACCATTTTAACATACACTCTCTGTGCGTTTTGTTATTTCCATGACATTTTAAAATTACACTTAAGTGTTGCCAATCATTTGTACCTTTCCTAGAACTTAAGGCACAATTGGAAATGTCAGAAAATAAACGGCATGCAAAGCAGTGAGCAGAATCATTTGATTCAGAGTAAATGAACCATCGTCTTTTTTGTTGCTCACCGTTTAATAAATGTCTAATGTAGTGAATGTTACTAAAATGTCGTCCACTTTCATTTTTTGGAAATTTTTTGTCTGTTACATATGCAGGGCCTTTTTCAATAATTCTAGTTCGCTCTGATTGGGTTAAAATTTTTGGCCATATATAGGGATTACTTATGTCGTAGGTGTCCCTGGTTTCATCATTCTCTTAGGCCTCAAATTGATAATATTTCTCTTTTACTGGGTCTAAAAATGATGGTGTCGAACTTATTAATAACAGATCTCTCGAAAGCGGTGATCCCGGTACTGGTTGCTGGGCTGATCTGTGTTCTAGCTGCAGTTCTAAAGTAGCAGACACTGACTGGGGGGTTAATGAAGATGGATCTGCAGGGGTAGAATGATTATGTGTTTCAGGGCTTTCTAAACTTGCACTGTGTAATCCTAATGGACCACAAGTTACAGTTTTCTTTGGAATTTCAATATCACTACCGTTCTTAGAAGTTTCAGCTTTTAATAACTTGGTTAATGTGTTACGAAGCTGCCCTTCAAGTACTTTCCTTTTTTTATTTCTTTTTCTTTTGGCACTTCCAGAATCATATTTTCTACCAATATCTCGATTGCGGGAAGCCATTGAAAAGTCTAACATGAAAAAACCAAATTATCTTATAATTCAAATAAAAAATTACCCTTTTTATTATCATTTATCAATAAACCATTTTTTTAATTTTTTTTAAAATTTCATGAAATTAATTTTTGTTAAATATTTTAATTTAGTGATAATTGAAAAAAGTTAAATTTCATTTAAAATGGAAAATCGATTTAACATAAACCTAAAACTGAAATGAAAACATATTTATAATATATAAAACTTTATAAGTCAATAAAGAATGAACTATTTGATCGCTGAAAAAAAAATATTTAACAATAATTAAACTATTTATTACTGTACAATGTACATGTTATATTAATTTATTTAGCATAAAAAAATTATATAATGTATAATTGCATATAAAACAAAATTGAGTAATCTGATGTCACTTAACTCGAGTTTTTATTTAAAAGTCTCGCTATTGTCAAATTTTCTATAGTCAGTTCTTTTGGGGCCCCAGAAGACGCGGGGCCCTGTGCGGCCGCACAGTTCGCACACCCCTGGCACCGCCACTGGTAGTATTTATATACATCTTTGATTTGACATACTATTTTTTTTAAAGCAGACTATTTCCCTAATTACGGGGGGGCTTCAAATCTAAAAAATGTATATATAAAGTAGAACTTTTTTAACTTAACTTTTGAAAGTGTTATGGAAAAAAAAAATTTGACCTCTGGACTTGTCTTCGTGTTGAAAATGGCTACCGAATGCTATTTTTGTGTGAAAATTCTCGATATTATATTTTACATTTTTAACTTTATAATGCTATAACTTATTGAAAAGAGTATGGATCAACACTGTTAGGAACAGGACTGAACAGTAAACGAACTCCTATTCTTACGAAGGCGACAAGAGAAAAGCCGGTTAGTCAGTTGATTTTCTAAGTATGACTATCTGATTTATTTGTATAGGAAGGTGCGTGGAGTGGAGGGATAGGGAGGAATTGGAACAATAAAGCTAAATAAAAATTATAACATCAAGTATTATGAGAGTAAAAGTAAATAAAATTTGTACCATGAGTGAGCCAATTAATTCCAATGCTCTAACTACCTTACCTGTAATATGTGTTCAGTTAGTTATTTATAATATATGATTTCTGATAGTGGACTGTATATGTGCTCAAGAGGGAAAGGGAAATGTGAATATTCAGTGCGACATGATTCAGTGAAATCAGTAAATTTATTGCAATGAGCAAAGTACAAGAGTAATGTTTAATACAAACTTAAATTCAATTATTTTGTACAATTATATTAACAAAGTAAAGTAAGACATTAGCAGGTATTGGACAAAACACAAGTATAATTGCTATGAACGTTAACAAAATTAAGATAGGGATAAGTAATAAAATTGTTCAAGGGAAGTGGTTGAATCAAATATATGGAAAAAAAAACAATTATTATCAAATTATGAGTTCATAAACAAATGGACAAACATTAGAGTTCAATAACCAAAGGACATAGTTAATTTCAATTGTGCAATGACCAGTGGTCGATTAAATCAAATTATAATACTAATATAACAAACGACGAATTTCATTACAATAAACAATTAACTCAGATAAACTAGTAAATGAGCAACTCAACTATTTAATTACTTTAACTTATGTGGACTTATGGACTTGAGTTGCTTTGTACTACCACATGAATAACATAAGAAGATAATCGTAACATAAATTACTAGAAACTGAACTACAATTTTAACTTATCTAAATTCTAAATTAAATATTACTGGACAATTGAACCAAGGGGCTCGCACTTTAACAGTCTGCTGATTGTGTTTTAATAGAATAATTGTATTGTTACAATCCAGAATAGAGTTAATAGATCTAAAGAGTTTCATACAAATGACAGTGTACCCTATGGGTAATGTGAGCTAATGTGCGAACCACAAGGTATATAAATAACAAATAATAAATAAACGATTGAAATATTACCAATTAATATTATACAAATTTGGTTTTTTATTACGCTGCCGGTTCAAATAGGCTAACAATCGAAATAACACCAGACGAACGATTTTAGTAGTAAAAAAAATATAATGTTTTAGGTTAGGCGAAAAGCAATAGTTTTACAACGAGAGCGATACAATAACGCATTTTTACAAAAAAAAACAATAAATCTAGGCGACGGATCTCGAGAGAGTGAATTATAAACTATAACGGCCAAGCGTCCGATGAGGGAAGTGTTATCACCAGATAATACGCTATCAGTATGACCAACTTGAGTGTTCACCCGAACAAACACAATTTTTTTATGAGAAATAATATTTTTTAATAATCCCTTTTACATTCAGGATATAAATAAGGAAATAGCAGATCATAAAGTTTTTGGAATAATCCACCAATTTTTAAAATTAAACACTATCTAAAGATTTGCATCGAAGCTTTTTTAAGATAGTGATTTTAATCACTGTCAGATGTCATCTATACTTGTCCCATCTATGCCTCGTCCACACTGTGCCTCGACCCCACTGTGCTACCGTTTTTTTCTTTTTTGTGTCTGTTACCACTTTTTTTTTCCATGATAAAGTATATTACATTAGCTTTAATTTAAGATATATATAAAAGTGTCAGACCTTCCGGAACATTTTCAAANAATAGGTTAACTATGTCATTTTCCTTATTTTGAAAATATTAAAAATCAAATTACTATTAATTTAAAACAATTTTTTTTTCTTAATTATTTTTTTTTTATATGTAAATAAATATTTTTTAATAATAATAAAACTTAGAAGTTATGGAAAAAGTTTAATTGCACATTTGAAAACATCGTGAAAAGTTGATTTAGAAGAATATATTATTGTTTCTGATGTACTTCCTTGTAGTCCAATGTATAAATGTTATTACTTTGTTATAAGTAACAAAAAAATTTTATGGAAAAGTATTTCATCAAGCCCTTTAAATTTTTATACGCGTTAAAAGTTATGAAATATACAACTACTTCATTATTTTTATATTATCTCCGTAAAAATTACAATATTAAATTATTGAATATCAATTTTATACTAAATTTAATTACTATAATTATTATGTATTCATATATTATTATTATAAATTAAATAACTAATCGGGATAAAATTAAGGGAATAGTTATTATTGCTTTTGAAATAATCTACCGATTTTTTAAAATTAAACACTATCTAAAGATTTGCATCGAAGCTTTTTTAAGATAGTGATTTTAATCACTGTCAGATGTCATCTATACTTGTCCCATCTATGCCTCGTCCACACTGTGCCTCGACCCCATGTGCTGGGTATTTTTTTATATTATAAAGTTTCACAAGAATTAATTTTAATGGATTAAAAAAATAGGTTAACTATGTCATTTTCCTTATTTTGAAAATATTAAAAATCAAATTACTATTAATTTAAAACAATTTTTTTTTCTTAATTATTTTTTTTTTATATGTAAATAAATATTTTTTAATAATAATAAAACTTAGAAGTTATGGAAAAAGTTTAATTGCACATTTGAAAACATCGTGAAAAGTTGATTTAGAAGAATATATTATTGTTTCTGATGTACTTCCTTGTAGTCCAATGTATAAATGTTATTACTTTGTTATAAGTAACAAAAAAATTTTATGGAAAAGTATTTCATCAAGCCCTTTAAATTTTTATACGCGTTAAAAGTTATGAAATATACAACTACTTCATTATTTTTATATTATCTCCGTAAAAATTACAATATTAAATTATTGAATATCAATTTTATACTAAATTTAATTACTATAATTATTATGTATTCATATATTATTATTATTATAAATTAAATAACTAATCGGGATAAAATTAAGGGAATAGTTATTATTGCTTTTGAAATAATCTACCGATTTTTTAAAATTAAACACTATCTACGATTTGCATCGAACCGTTTTTTATGATAGTGATTTTAATCACTGTCAGATATCATCTATACTTGTCCAAACTGTACCACGTCTAGTCTGTGCCGTGACCCCACTGTGCTACCGTTTTTTAAATATAGTTCTATATTGTAAAAATTTATTAAAAAGAAAAAAGTTTAAAATGTTATGTAACTCATAAGTTATATGAGTTGTTTTAATTCCGACTTTCTTATCTCCTAAATTGGTTTAGATTGCTACTTGATGACATAAAGTTGACACCTCTATAAGTTATAAGACGATTCTAAAAAGTAATCGTAATTAATTGATAAATCAAGAAATGTATGCAACTAAAAAAATAGAAAACGTTAATTCCAATGTTGTACTTATTTTACGAGTAATCGAATGGTTTATGATTAACCTATTACTTTGTATAAAGAATTTTATATTTACCGGTAAAGTTAGTGTATGGGTCAATCCATGCCAAATCATCCAGAAGTGGTTGCACGACCACCTCATATTTTTCTGAAATTTTCAGGGTTTATACATTATGCTATATTTAGATTAAAATAATTTTTTTTTTTTATGATCTTCCCATTTTTATGGCTATTTCAATGTAAAAAAAGTTAAAAATAGCTAGATCGTTAAAAAACACACAGATTATTCAATTTCAACTCAATCGAATTAAAATTTTAGATTTGACCCTATTATAACTTAAAGTTTACATTAAAAAAAAAAAAAAAAATTATGTGAAATTCTAAACTTAAAATGACTTTCAAAAAATGGCGCTTTTTTTGTGAAAATTGGCGTTTTTGAGCTCACTTAAAACCATTAAGAAGTTATTATTTTATTGTGATTTTTACATGTGGTATTGTATAGTGTATAATCTATGTTTCAACTAAATTTCAAATATTTAAAACAATTATCTTGGGATTTAGAGGCCTACAAAGTTAGAAATTTTATAAAAATACGTATATTCTAAGTGCAATATCTCTGTTGGATTTTTGAGTAGTCTGCATAAATGTTACGTATCCACGAAATTTGAGTTTTACCTTAAACGTTCCTATTAAATATTTTAAAATACGTTTCATCGCATTCTAATGTATTATGAAAGGGTTTCCAAATAACAACTGATGAGGTTTTCAGTAAATTTTATATCAGGCCTTGTGATCTGACTTAGAAGAAACTTTCAACTTTTTCTTTGTATGGAATTATCTCTGATTGAAATAATTTTGACAAATTTGAATCTAATGAGTGTTGAGCGTCTGATGGTGGTACTTTCCATTTTCAACAAATATTCATTTTTTTCATTTTCTACGCTTTTCTTTTGGCATATGATCATAAAAATCACTACTAAATAATTTTAAATGATTTGTATTAAATGTTTCATTATGTTTAATGATTGTTTTTCTATCTCTTAACAAATATTACTACTTTTTTTTTCGGATGACCCTCGAAGACGTATCCGTTCTATTACCGCTGCCATCAAATATGTTGTGCGGACCCACGTGGTAAAGGAATTAAAACTTAATAAAAATACGAAAACTCTCACTTTTCAGTAAAAAATTTAGAATATATAATATGACTGAACAATAAATAATAAAATACATCATTCATTTTTAATATTAATACAAATGAATAGGATGACATAGAATTATATAGAATGAATTCGAATGAAGTAGAAGTATGATATGGAATATCATAACAGTTTAATACGTGCATACTATACCATGACTGACTGTATGGGACCTACAGTGGGAGTCGTTCGCCCAACGTTACCCTAAATACTTTGGTCAGCATATACGACAGTTGGAAGACCATGTATTATATACTCTACGCAATTATAAAATAATACTTGGGGTTCTTAACAGTAGATCTGATCGCATTTATGTACCTAGTTAGTATAAAAATCTCATCAATAAGGCCAAAAAGTACTCACCAATTTATAAAGTAAAGTCAGTGAAGAACAAAAAATAGCGAAGTTTCATGGATATTTGTTTCAGTATTTAAATAGGCAATCAAAGATATTGAAAAAAAAATGGAGAATATTTCAACTTAAATCAATACAGATATAAAGGAAATTAGGATGTGCTATTTTTGGAAGATAATATATATAACGATTAAGTCGCAGTAAAATTTCAAAATATTTCAGGATATATCAAAAGTAAGACAAAATAAAACTTTGTCCCGAAGATTTATCTGTTATGTGTAAATAGCCACCGTAGGTAAACAAAATGCTATTTTTGTATTAAAATTAACAATTTTTTAGATTCAATTTTAAATTAATAGAACTTGAAAGATATATGAAATAATTATTTTTTTGTAAATACATACACACATATATTTTTTTAAGAATTGCGACCATTTCATCTTATTTAGATGAAGGGATGTTCAAGACTTGACATATGCGTTTATAAAGTAAACCTTCTCTATTTAACTTTTGAAAATCTTCCAGATCCTTGAGTTTTAAATTCACATTAAATAAAAGCTAAGTTATTTAATTTAATTTTAAAAAAATTATCCCGACATCTTGTTTTCTATGTGTAAATGGCTTCAGAAATTAAACGTAAAGTATTATTTGAAATAAAAATTACCATAATATAATTCATTAGGTGTATTTCCTGTACAATTTAATACATTACAACTGTATTTACTGCTTCAACCCGAAAATTTTTGACACATTTTCGTTATATAACACAGTTTTAAATGCTACTACAATCATTTTAGAAGCAGCATAATTGAATCGGTCATTTCAAAAATGCCATTTCTCCACATTTTTTCAAAACTACTTTTTTCTGATAGATGTGTTTATCTAATAATAATGCATATTTCCTGCGAGACCGTCATGTCTCCAACAACTCGTTATAGTCTAAAAATAACGAGTGCTTTCGAAAAGGTNAACAACTCGTTATAGTCTAAAAATAACGAGTGCTTTCGAAAAGGTCATTTCTCCAAAAATAACTTGATCAGCAATTTTATTTGTTAAGATTCTATTTTCATCTGGTTTATTGTCTATCTGTTGTTGATAACAGTTGATAATAACAATAATAATTATTGTTATGTAACGTGACATAAAGTATCTGTTTATTTTTTTTGTCTATTTGTATATTTATATATATATATATATATTTGTGTTGAGCCGAATGCGTACTGTGACGGCGTTTCTCAGTTAAATAATCATGATAAGGTGTTGTGATTTGTTTATGCGCGTGCGAGATAGTCAGCTGTGTACTACTTCAGACCGGTTCATGGACGGCATTTGTGTGTACATTCAC